TATTAGAGCGTTCTCCATACGCTCTTGCTCTTACTCTGTTTACGCATTCACTGCACTACGCACACTAGCACCCTCTCGCGACAAATATTCACTTGTTGTTGTGGGCGTCACAAGAATTATTTGTTCAACACCGAACATATATAAATACCCTCCGTTTTAATATAGAAGACACGTTAGTGACCGTTATTTAAAGTTAAAAGGAACATCTTTGGTTCCTAACTTTCCAAATTTCTGTTGTAAGAATTTCAATTTATATAAAAATATATAAGTTCAATTAGCCGAAGTATGCATCGTTCTATTACACAAAGGCATTTTTTTTTGTATATTAATAAAATGGCATACTTTTTTAAAAAATTATACGTATACAAATTAATTATTCTTCATTCGTTAGTTTTCAAATCTTTGCACAATTTTTTATATAAAAATGGAGTTTCAACTCTTAACTGCTGTTCTAAAAAAATGCAGTTAATTCATCTGAATCAAAAACAGCTTGCTTTTCTGTTTTCAAATTTCGCTTTAAAGGTACTTTTTAAAAAGTTGAATTTTCGTTAAAAAATACTGTTGGAAAGAATGCCTATCATGCGCGATTTACTTTATAAAGGCCTATTGTTCGTATGCATCTCCGATTCGAATTTTTTGATAGTTCTTTGAACCTCGTTGCCTGGCAATTTTCTCCAGATATTTCCCATGATACCTTGCAAATAATCAACACTTTCCTAGAACTATTTTCTGATGGATTTGCACTATTTGTTGAATTTTCCATTGTTCTACGAATTCTTCAAGTTTGAGTAGAAATTTCTTTTTGCAGGTACTGTGGCAAATTTTCTGCCTCTTTTTTTTTTTAAAAAAAAAATTTGGAAAAGAAATTTAAATTTACAAAGTTAAAATGCAATTTTCATCCTCGCTTTAGCTGGTTTGTTTCTCGGTTTGAATAAGACACTTTAATGGAAGTTTCTTGTTGATTGACTACGGAGGTTTAGTCAAGTTTTAAGTGCTGCTAAAGAAAATTTATTTCTAGTTTCATTTAAGAAATTAAAAGAAAAAAATTACATAAATTATTCGCACGTAGAAATGTTTATAAAGAAATTATATGTATTTTATGTGATATTTTATTATATACTGTCAATTTGTGTTTATTTTATTTTCAGTTTACCAGCTTATAAACTGTGTTAGCGAAATAAATTATTTCCTTTTTTCACCCCCGTCAAATAAAATTTATAAAACCTTGTTTCACGATTGTAATATTAATGTTTTTTTGGTGATTAAATTTACTTTCCTCATACATATTGCTGGAAAAATGTTTAAATGAAAATCGCTTTTGATATCAAATCCACAGAACTTAAATTACTTTTGAAGGATCTTCTGAAACGGAATTGGTTCCACATAAATATTAAAAACCTACTGTTTCGAAGAAGTTCGTGATTATGGGATAACTAAACGTGACCTATCGAAAACTCAGTTTATCGTTCTCAATACTGCTGCTCGCATTGGTCGAAATCCAATGATTGTCGTGCAGATATAAAATCGATGGGTTCAGGAGGGTCATGCTGAACACTCTGCAGGATTTCAGCGGCTTTTCGGGTGGTAAACATGTTGTCAAGCTGACCTTGTTGGGTCGTACAACAACATCAAGGACTTTGCAGCACAACAAGTATCCGCACGGATGGTGCGACAACATTTGGAGCAGACGGCGACCACTTGCAGCTTCCTG